AATATATAGAAATTCACACATTTGTCTGTTTTTTTTTCCAGTGTCACATTAGATTAGTATTTTTTTAATGTATTTATTATATTATGCAGAATATATATTATATAGAATATATATTTTTTGAGGCTGCACGTTCACCTCACAGCAAGAAGGTCTCTGGTTTGATCCTTGACTGGGTCAGTTGGCATTTCTGTGTGGAGTTTGCATGTTCTCCCCGGGTTGTTGTGGGTTTCCCCCACAGTCCAAAACACATGGTAAGCTAAATTGGCCATAGTGTATGTGTGTGAATGAGTGTGTATGGATGTTTCCCAGTGATGGATTGCAGCTGGAAGGGCATCCGCTGCATAAAACATACTGGATAGATTGGTGGTTCATTCATCTGTGGTGATTCCTTATGAATAAAGGGAGTAAGCTGAAAAGAAAATGAATAAATGAATGAATGAATATATTATTTAATGCAGAAAACACTCAAAAAGTGCATACACTGTTTCATGGCCCCAGTCATACTGAACAAGTAAAAGCGAAGGCGTTTAAAGGGCTTGCAGACCTTGGTGACTTTCTTCCGCGTCCGTTTGTCTTGTTTTCCCACTCATGTCATCCTGAAAGTAAAGTGTCATTTCTCTGCACCGACGGCTCACGTGTTTCCCTCATACGCGTTCCTCATCTGAAGTCGAGCAGTAGTGATGAAATATTCAAGTGTGTGAGAGCTCATTACCTGCAACACTGTAATTACAGCGCAGACGACATCAGTCAGCGCTCGCTTCAGTCTAATCAACATGAACTTACGCAACCGCTGACAGATTAATACTGCACTGAACTTACACTGCATTCATCTCTCAAACATTATTACCAGACACAGTTTAATGTGCACCTTTCAGTTTTGAACATTGTTGGGGTTTATTTATTTACAATACACTGACAGAAGTGATGTGGTGGATCTCAGTTGTAAGAGCAGCAAATAGTAACTCGACTTCTAGTTGATGATGTGTAAAAGTGTTGAAGGTGGATTTCTCTGCTGAATCATCTGTTGGTCTGCATTAATCATCACCAATACTGCAGAAGACCTACTGGAACCAGCATGGACCAAGATTCTCACAGAAATCAGTCAAATTTGGTGAAGGAGACATCATGGTTTGGGGTCTACATTCAGTATGGGGGCGTGTGAGAGATCTGCAGAGTGGATGATCAACATCAACAGCCTGAGGTATCAAGACATTTGTGCTGCCCATTACATTACAAACCACAGGAGAGGGACAATTCTCCAGCAGGATAGCGCTCCTGCTCATTCTTCAGCCTCCACATTAAAGCTCCTGAAAGCAAAGAGTGCTCCAGGATTGGCCAGCCCAGTCACCAGACATGAACATGAACATTATTGAGCATGATGAAGGAGGAGGTGATGAAGATGAACACAAAGACTCTTGATGAACTCTGGGAGTCCTGCTGAACGCTTTCTTCTTCATTCCAGATGACTTTATTAATCAGTGATTTGAGTCATGTCAGAGATGTATGGATGCAGTCCTCCAAGCTCATGATGGAGTCAGACACAATATTCATTCTGTCTCCACTGCAGCAGGACTTTATATTCTATACTGGACATTATTTCTGTTCAGTGATGAGACTTTAGTCTGAGCAGAGTCAGACCGCACTGTCCTCATCAAATCAGTCAACATCAAGACATGATCAGATTTTATTGAGCTCAAATCAGCAAAATCTAGAGGCCTTTACCTTTCATATGAGACACTTCTGACACCAGATCATCAACTAGAAGTCCAGTTATTATTTGCTGTTCCTAAAACTTGGATAGGCCACAAGACTACTGTCGGGGATTGGAAGCTTCCCTTAATGTTTTTACTAACAGGAAAAAACAATGAACATTAAATTCAGTAATGATTTTGTTTCCCTCTGACCTCTGCTCTCTGTGACCTCTGACAGGATCCAGGGCCTCAGCAGCGTCTGCCTGCCGCCAGAGAGACGTACGGCCTCAATCTGCTGGCCAGTCCACCGGATGAAGACATACTCATATACCACAGGTCAGAACAATGCAGATCTCATCTATTGTCAGAATTATATATATATATATACATACATACATACATACATATATATATATATATATATACACATATATATATATATACACACACACACATATATATATACACACACACACACACACACACACACATATATATATATATATATGTATGTATAT